AAAGCTGAGGGAGATGCTCCGACGAAGGATCTCTAAGCAGTCCCGCCAAACGCATAATCAGATATGTACAAGTGGAAAATCTACCAATCACCCTGTCTTCCTACATCCGATTAGTGATTTCAATGGTTCCTACGCTTGACACGCGCGATCACGCCTTCTTGTCTGGCAAAGAAGGTGTTTCTGGTGTGCCACTGAGTCTTCGCTTGGTCGTAGAACTCGAATCGATAGTTCCACACCAGCTGAGGGGTAAGTTTGTGCAGCTCAATCAAGGCAATGTTCTTGCCCAAGCAGGTACGAGTTCCGCCGCCAAAAGCCATCATGAACTTGTCCATATAGTTGGCACGGGACTGGTCCATCCACCGGTCAGGGTTGAAACTCTCTGCATCTGCACCAAATACTTTCTTATCAAAGTGCAGCACGGCGGCATTAATACCAACAACATAGCCCCCCGGGATGAACTGGCCGCAGAGCGTCATGCCCTGTGGGGGCACAATACGAGGCAAAGCTGTGTTTGGTTTGTCAGTGGCACACCCGAATCATGAAGCAAGACCACTTACATAGCTGGGCACCAGGATGGATACGAAGAGCCTCCTTTATGCACGCGCAAAGGTAGGGCAATTGGCTCGTCTCTTTGTATGTGGGAGGCATGCTGAGACGACCCTCATTGACGGCTTGGTCAACCTCCGCCTCCAGCTTACGGTACGCCTCCGGATTGTGCATCAGGTGATAGAACAGGGAACGGAAGGCGATGGCAGTAGTGTCGCTACCAGCAAAAAGTGCACCGTAAGACTCCTGCTCAACATCTCCCCAGCGGTAGTCAAACTTCTCACCGCTCTTCTCGTAGATGGAGAAGACCTGCTGTGCCATGTCGGTTCTGGGGGCCTCAAGGCGCGACTCATACGCATCCTTCATGAGGCGCGCAGAAGACTCGCCAATGTTCTTTCTAGCACCAGGTATTAGCTGAAGGATGCTGCATGAGTTTCCAGAGTATTGACTTACACTCCCTTGGCAATCTCCTTGCCTGCAGATGTGAGCATGCATCCAATGCCAACAAAAGGGCGCAGGATGGGCGGCGCCACACCCATCAGGCAAACGAAGGGAATCATCTTGTCAAGAGACTTGATCCAGTCATTTTGGTCCTTTCCCTCATCAACGAACCCAAAAGCTCGGCCATAGAAGAGTTCACCAATGATGTCAAAAGTGTACCTGTTGTACAACTTAGCCCGGATTTCTTGAACGTGTGAAGACTTTAATCCAAACGCTGATGTAGGTCACTCACCAATGCAGCCATTCTCCGATATCACAGGGCTTTCCTGAGTCAGCGTACTGCCCCAAGCGTTCGGTCAAGAGGTCGCTGCAAGTGTCGATGTATTGTTCCGACTTGGAAACATTGCTCATGGAGTATACACTACTCGTGATCCTTCGCCTTTGGCCATGCTTCTTGTCGCTCTTGCAAGAGAAGACATCACCATGAGGGCTGAATCCGGTTGTGTTGTAGGGCTCGTAGAATTGGGCTTTATCCAAAGCGTTGGAAAAACGGTAGATGTCCGCAAATGCCTCAGGACTATAACACCTATCAGCCACGAGTAAATCAAGAACCCGTTACCCCTCCATATACTTACTCCGAGCATGAGATCTCGTCTGGTGCTAGTCTGACTAGTGGACCATATTTTTCATGGAGTGCTCGTTCATCCTTTTCGACGTCCTCGGTCCAAATCTTCAACATGTACCACAACCGTGATACCGTCGCAAGAAAAGGCCCCGGGATTCTGCTGAGGGGATGGAATGTGCGTGCGTAGACGACCCAACCAATCCAGTAGATGACTGGGAGTGCTACAAGCACACCAACTCGAGGTAGCGAGAGCTCCAGGAACATTGTAATGGACTATGCTGTTGTAAGGCGGAAAACAAGAGTATCTTGAACTAAATTGAACCAAAAAAGAGAGTCTGCGTCTGCAAAACGAGGAGACTCCTCAAGTATATTTATAAGGCTAGTCAGGAGAAGACATCTGCGGAACCCCATCCAGAAGTCACGCCCGGCGCTACCGTGAAAGATGCCCCACGACAGATCCAAGCGACCCGAGACATTAGATTGTCCATGCTGAGGGACCCATACGGACGGACGTCTGACATCGCTTCGCCGAGTAGTCTACGGATAATAGTGGGGTTGATTCCGTGTATCGGCTTGCCCTACCGCCCGAGACCGAAAGACTTTTTATCTGGACAACACGAAGTTTCTGACCGGAGTTCGGAGCAACACAAACAGGTACCTTGACGATTTAAGGACACTAATGTTAAACCATGAGTCATATGGCACAATTGAGGGGATACCTGGCCGTGTGGGACGTATTTGACTTTGGCTAATGCATCGCGACTTGGACACGACGCAGGTTATCACACTGAGAGGCAAGACATCACGGCAACTATTGCATATTTACTACTTAGTAAACAACATGTTCCAAGACCTGAGACTACATTTGGTTCTGAAGAAGGATTCGCATTCTAGTACTTTTGACGAATCGTGCGAAATCCGAACGCGAAGATCTGCATGAAATGCCCATGATATGCGTGCTAAAACTATTATCAAGCCTGTATTCCTTGAATGGCTTTTGAGAGGGCATTCAGAACTTCCGTGACCCCCCTGTGAGGGCAATGCGAGAGTTTTGACCTGGTGGGTTAGTTCCGCCGGCAGTCGGGTTCAACCACGATGCCGAATCTTATCGGCCTGGATCCGCAAGAGCTCAGGAGACGCCGGTTGATCACGAGTTGGAAGATTGAATGAATCTTGAGACAAAGTGGACGATACAATCATCTGGGTAGTGTAGATAAATAGCTGATTGGCTTGCTTTCGTCATGGCATGGTGATGGACGCACCAGAAGTTGGGCCATTTCAAGGGTGTGATCTTGATTATGAAAAGGTATCGCAGCTGGTCAAATACATACCGAATGGATTACAAATATCCAAAGATTATTTACCAAAGCCATCTCGCCAAAAACGACTTTTCTTCAAGTGAAGACAATCCGACTGTCTACAAAGGGGTTGCTCACAGGGAGTATTGAAACCTGCTTAAGGGGACGTAGAGAGGAAAGCTGCATCAGCAGGTCAGTATTAATAACCAACGTTCTTGACTGAAAAAGCGCAGACCTTACCAAAACATGATTGTAATCAAGGACGACCGAATGGCCGACGCAATGTTAATAGGCTTGCCAAACCTTCCAAGGCTGAACTCACGGTTGACGGGCAAGCAATCGCGCCCACTCACCCGAAGCTGTCGCCCCAGCGTCAGCACCATGGATAGCCAGCTGGATCTCTTCGCACTGGAATGCATACCATTACCACGGGAATGAGATATCCAATCTGGATAGCTACACCGCCGAGACTAACGATTGCTTCGAAAGCGTGGTCACGGTTATGAAGGCTATACCCCCGGCTGTGGACTTGAGGGTACTGATTATCCAAGGTATCCAGGGCAGACTAAGAATCGTAAGTCATCATCACTGCCTTAAAGCCATTGATTTCAGGCACCCTTCCGATACTCACTCTGCACCAAGATATTCCGGCCAGCTTCCAGGAGTAGATGCAATTAAAAGAGCACTCAGAAGCAAAGTGGTTTCGCTGAAAATAATGGACCAGATCATTGCTCTCTGTAGAAAGTATATCAGTCACTGCATCCCATAATCCATATTTCATGAAGATGGCATGTTGCTAGTGCATTTCTCTCGGCGTCCTTTATTTCTTCAACAATGTACAAAATGCCATCAGTATATGATGGTGCGTAAAAGCTCATAATTCCGACTCAGCCGACGTGGGTATATCCAGAGTTGTTGTTGATGAACTCGGTGAACGCAAAGTGGGCTGACACCTTTGGGGCCATGACGAAATGAGATCCCCCATGCAAGACCCCCACCCAACGCAATCGTGGCTCCAACCGCTGATGCCAGGGGGAGATGCCTCTGGGAAAGACAGAATGCGACAGAGGCGATGAGGGAAACGGCATAGAGCAGCCGCACTGCCCATGGCTGTGAAGGATCAGATCACGCGCATCAATTGGCTTATGGGGTTGGCCCTCACCTGTAGTTCGAAGTCCGTCTGAGTGAGTTGAACAAGTCCACCAACAACGAGAGCGTTATTCATGGAACATCCAGCTGAAGTTGCGATTTCGCCGAGAAGCAGAACCCAACCGATGAGATATGAAAGCAAATGACGAACTCTGGATTCATTAGCCGGAGGCCTTTCCCGAGACGCGAGCCCGACACTTGCCGTTGAGGTGCTACTGCTTTGGTGAACGCTCTAGCCAGATCGCTGCATCCTGTCAGGGGCACATCAAATTTGCCGCGAAAGTACATATGGAGATTGTAGGTGAGAGTTTGCGCGCTTGGGCATGTACATCACGGCCAGCTCGTCGGGTATTCAGTTGCTGAGGGGATGGACTTACCACAGGAAAACACGCACCTGGTGTTCTTCGGGTCCAACAAGGACTTTTCCAACCCGAAAGACGATGTTGGCGACTTCCTGTCCGACGCCCAAGGAATTCAAGAAACGAATGTCAAGCATGTGGTATGTCACCCATTCCGCGGGTATTCGCCGTGGCGGACTCAGCTGGACTTTTGCTAATGTTTACCTAGGTTTGGCACAATCGGCTTGCTGGCCCGTTATCACAAGGAACATGGTGCAGTCTTGCGCCAGACTACAGTTTCAAGTACCTCGAAGATCTCCGAAAACACCAAGGCAATGTACTATTTGCCAGTGGGGACTGGGCCTTAGGATGGAGGGGATCCATTGATGGCGCCATCAAGGAAGGTACCAGGGCTGTTAAGGCCGCCATAGACGATGTGCGTCCGGAAAAGCCATTTTCATCAGCTATTTGAAAGGACTTTCTTTGCAATATTAGGAAAGTCAAGTAGCCCAAGAAAAGTTTCCCTATTCATGGCTCAATCAATCATGAAAACTCCCCAAGAATATGGTGGTTCATGCCATGGGGCAATTGGGCTCATATTGATCACATGATGAATACTTTAGCTTGAGGTAGTAATGAGATCCATCTATCGCCCAGTGCCCTTCTTTTCCAGACTCGTTCAAGTTGATCCATGCCTTTGCGAAGATTCTTAAAGCGGCTGCGCTTGTAGAAAGATGCGAATACCTCCCGGAAGAAGGATTTATGCTCTTCCAGAACACTGTCGGAAGCCGCAACAAAGGTCGCCCAGATGAGAACTTGTTTACCGGGCGAGCCGGCAGGGAAAGATTCAAACGTCTCCTTGAATCGCTGAACCCGGCAGACAGACTCGGCGAACTGTGGAAAGCTGTCGTTCACGGAGGCTACCGACAGTACATCACGACGTGCTTGGTCGAGATATATATCGTAAGATTGCTGGATGAGACTCATGACCAGCGATGTAATCGGATAGTGCTCTGGCTGGTGCTGAGAGCAGTGCCTGATGCATTCAAACGCCTGCGTAATGTTCTGGTGAGTGCTCAGTGTTGTGATACCCCACTGCTCATTGATCAGCGGTGCAGCGTATACCCGCATTCTAGAAGTGGACCAGTTAGCCATGATCAGAGCCTAGACCCCTGGGACCCTGACGGCGCAAGGGAGCTGTTGCTACGGAAAAGGCGGGATCTCTCCAGTGGCGAAAATCTACAAACGCTTACTTGTGAACTTGACGGACGATAAAACGTGACAGCTCATCTTCGCCTAGGCTGTCTTCTCCCCCGATGGCTTCGAGTGCGGACTCAAGTAAGCGGAATAGGAGCGGGAAGTCATCTGAACCTGTGACCATGACTGCCACTAGCAGCACTAGGATGGCGAGTAAGATGGAAAGTCTGGAGGATTGGTCGCTATGTTCGAGATCTCGGTGTTGCAGATCTATAATTGTCCGGGCGTACAGCTGAGATGGTGGTGGATTGGCACTTGTAGATAGTTGACATGACCGGCCCGGTGGTGTTGGAAGGGAATCCTCACGGACCTCCAGGTCCTTTGAAGGAGATAAGCGCTGCCCGTATCGATGGAAAGAGGCGACTGTCAACACTGAGTTTAATACCAGCTGATTTAGATGGGCAATGGGCAGGACGAGATGCCTCCATCCGTTATGCAAGCCATCTATTGCCACCATTTCCCCGGCGATATGATCGGAGACTAAGTAGACAGTCAACAAGTTGAGCAACTCGAGGAAGACAGGCATGAAGAGATTGGGACGAGACGAACAGTGAAGAAGAAGAGGTAGTGCCCACGGTGCGACTTTGGCAGGTGACGGCTGAACCCTGAAGCAGCTATCTTTCTGTGCTATCCCCGTTGTTGCTATGATTCTTGACTGAGCGAATTCCTGTGGCCTCTGCACCTGGAGCAGAGGTTCATTGTTCGATACATCCTCTGTAGACTCGACGTTATCATCGACGATAATTTCGCTGGGAGACGCCGGGATATCCGCATGACCCAGTCCTCGATCGTCGTCTTGTCGGAAATGTTCCTCACTGCGAAGTTCTTCACACAGCTTTGCGCTGTTCGGCCGTGGCTTTGATATCCGCTCCAGGGATGACGCTTTTACTTGTCGTTCGGCATCTCGTCTAACCGCTGTTAGAAAGTAGAAACGGGTTGCCGAAAAAAGTATGGTGGTAAAACGTACCCCTCAAAGACTTCCTGGATTGTCTTGCCTACCCAGAAGCCCCGGGCAGCGATACCATCGCTGAAGCGGTGTCGAATGCCGAGCCCACTGCACTTCAGGCCTCTGGATTGGCATTTCTCACATTCCGGCTCCGTACGATCGCAGCTTATCCTCCGTTTTGAGCACTCAAAGCAGCCTATGGTGAAGTAAAGCCTGGGATTAGTTCGAATCTGGGGATAGGGGTGTACCCGGGGGTGGAGTTCAACCGAACCTCTTGTCTTGGGCCGGTAGGGACGGGGCTTCCGGGGCATGATTTCGCAGGTAAAAGCCCAAAGCGCCCCGTGTAAAGTATCATGATGCACCGGAGACGAGCAGGCAGAGAATAGAAGCTTGAATGAGACCAAAATGTACTCTCTTGATGACTGTTATCTTCGACGTGACTAGTGTCGCCGTGATCGGTGCCCCGCCACCGAGTGGAGAGAAAGCCAACACTATGCCAGATTCGAAAGGTTAAATGAGACCACCGGTTTACCGGCCGTCCGGATAACCTGCCGGCAGATTTACCCCGCATCGGTCCACTACCCCGCCCCGGACCGACGATAAGACATGAGAAGCTATTTTGCTAGAGAGCTTTGCATGGACATGATTCGTCGAAATGAAAGCAATGAACTCTGAAGCAAGGAGCATTGAAAGAACATTCAGGGTGAGTTCGCAGTCCACGTCTATCATGAAGAGACCACTAGCATGAGTACTGAAGTTACGATGAGTCAGGATGTCAAGTTCTTTGGAAGGTGTTTCTGAGGCTAAGCAGCGGGCATCTTCGATCCTGGAGTGTCTGTAGCCAACTCTACTCAGTCCTTTTGGCAGTCGGCGCCACACTTGGTGGCCGACCATCCATCGCCGAGGCCGGTATCAGTAGTGAACATCGCAATCTTCGGCTCTAGGATAAAATGTATCACCTCCCGCATATTGTGAAAAGTTTCTGGCATTAGCATCACTCTCATCGAATCTCGGCCCACGTGCTCCGGGGGCCACATCAAGACAATCATCCATGCCGTCTGGGCTGAACGAAGACGCCTGTTTGGTGTTACAGAAACCGCCCGGATGACTAAATTCGAGGAAAGCGAGAGTTGGCATTAGAGCTTGGTCGGGGCGTGGAGGGCCGGGGAGATAACGGCGAAACTCCTCTTCGGCGAGACGGATCCGTCTCATGCTTCGTGTTGATTGCACGAGCTCTCTTGCTTCCCACAGGTTGATATCACCCATGAAGACACTAAAGTTATTACACTCTGCCTTTTCGGCTCCCCACTGTGTATTTTGGATGCTCACGTTGACACTGTTTCCAGCCCCTATTCAAGCATGGAAGGTTCTTCCTGCTTCAATGCACCAGTCTTACAGCCCTTCCAGATTCAAGATTCATTGCTTTTGCATCTCGATTTGTTTCCATGCGTTCTGTCCCCTTGGTTCCCAATTACTCATCAAGGTCAAAGGCTCATCATGCACAAAGATACTACCATGAACACAACGCAGCGATTCTTTCAGCCTGCACTTCTGAATGATTTTGAAGGGTTTTCTCGAGCGATCTCGTTTGAGCGTTCTAGCCTTCCACATGCTGCCGAGACAGTACCTGCCTGGCTGTGACGAGAGCCTCAGCCCATGCGGGTCCATGGCAGTCTCGGGGAAGGTGCTGCTCATGTCAAAGGCAGGTGTCGATGGCAATGGCCTTCCTTTCCTGCCCCTCGACGCGTTCTAGTTCTTTCCAGACCTCGGAGTTTCAACTTGAAACTTTCCTCCTTCCTTCAACATCCGCGGTTGTGAAGCCACTCTCCTGGGAACCGAGGAAATTCGAGCACCAAGGCGTCGACTCCGACGTCTCTTGCCTTGCTTTCAGCCACGGTGTCTGCAGCCTGACTACCAGAATTGACACGCAATTCACTCATCCAGACCATTCCAGCAGTTGCTGCGGCTGTCTCGTGTCGAAAAAGCAACAAACCCTTCCCTCAAGATCCTTCCTCGCATTCACAAAAATGGATTTCTCGTCGCCTCCCAGCACCGGCGATCCTTCTCGGGAGAGCATCGCGCAATGCCCAACCAGCGACTTGCAGCTTCCTCACCTTGGCACTTGTCCCCAGCAGCAGATTCCGGGTTTGGGACTTGTCCAGCACGAGCCGCAGATCATCCACTATGACCATGCTCAGCGCACCTTCCGGCGCGAAGGTGATCCTGGTAGGATCCCTCTTGCACTGCTCGGACTCGCCACGCCTGTTCTTTTTGTTGGTGTCACTGTGTTGCTGACTTCGAGCACAGAGACAGACTATGTCTTCCACGACTCGAGCGTCCACCGAGACGAGAAGTCCGACGTCGAGATTACGCAGATCAAGGCCCGCGAGCCCAACCCGAACGAAGCCTCTGCCTCGGGCTGCGATGTTGCCGCGAAGGATCCCCGCAAGCGGCTCCTGTTCGATTTCATGTCTCGAACCCCCAGCTCTGCCGCCTTCGACAAGTACGAGGAAAAGCTGCTGAAGCGTACCTGCCATTCCTTCGAGGACTCTGCTGGCCCCATCGGAGAGGTTCATCACACAGAGAGTCAGTTGGAAGCTGCCAATGCCGGTGGCGCGTACCCCCGTCGACCTTTCCAAGGAACGGACTTCAACCTTTCCGACCAAGCTGCGCAGTCTGATGCAGCCCAGCCCGTTTCTAGACCCCACGTCCAGGCCACTCAAGCTCAGGTCACCCAGCTTACTGGAATTGCTGATCGAATCGCCACCGTCATCGAACTCCTGCGTCACTCTGAGGACCAGCTGTCGGATGCCTACGATCGCATGAGTGAGGCCGACCTCGCGATTGAGGAGCTTCGCACTGGCATGCAACGATCTTGGGAGAAGATCCAGTCCCAGGCATCCGACCCTCGCGACCGTGAGGCCTCGAACGCTTCCGACACAACCACTCCAGCCAGCAGTGACAGCTTTGCCGATATTGAAGCCAAGCTGAAGGACATTACCCGCCAGAAGCGCTTGATCGAGATGGAGATTACTGGCCGCGAGTCCAAGAGACGGAGAATTGAGGAAGCATTTGCTGCCTTCGTCCCGCCCCAAGGCTTCCCTGGCCTGGAGAGGTTGGAGGAGACGGCCGATGAATACGTTCCAGCTCACTCGGGTTTGTAAGATGGTAGATACGGTGAACTATCGCGGCGTTTGAAGAAAGTTTGAGGAGGATTTGGTTGCGGGAATGACTCGGTTTGGTCAATGTACAATACTCTCGGTTTCTCACGGTGTCCCTTTGCACAATAAATTCCAGTTAGATTGACTCTGCATGACTGCAACCCTCCAGTGCCATGGCACCATCCGACAACACCCAGGCTCAAATCAGAGAATCCCAACTTTGATGTCAAAGTCATCCCCGGTACGTGCGCGCAAGTATGCAGTAGGCAAAAGTCACGAGTTTTCAGGAGTTATTACCTTCGACTTTGGGTCACCTGAGGGCATCGCGAGTATCTGCGATTTTCAGGCTGATGCTTTCTAGTAGGTTCATCCTTTCACCACTATTCAATAACATCGCCAACCCCCACCCTTTATTGGGCCAAGTAAACAAAGATCTGCCTTCGAGACGGGCGTCGTCTCGATGGCAGCAGTGATGAAGCTAACAGATCTTGCCTGTTGCTCGTTTTGTTTTGATTCTTGGAAAGAGCTGTTGCTTCTCACGATCGATTGCTGCTTCTCCATCTAAACCCCGTCGAACCTGGGTCTCTCACTTCGACGGATCGCCTGAGCCCAGAAGTCGGGACTTCGACCTCAATTTCGCACCACGCTCATTATTCACTCGGTTGTCAACTCCTGCTTTTTCGTCAGGCGCCCCTCCTTCCTTTTCGCTTGGATTTCCTTCGTTTTCCAGGGACCGCCTCGTTCCACGCCGCCGTCACAGCCCGAATGTTCCCTAGTGAAAACAGCAACCGTATCACTAGGACCATCAAATCCAGCACTGCAGCAACGATGGCAGAAAATCCCACCCTGTACCCGGTGAATTCTTTCGAGAATGACTCGGAGCCTCTTGGGGACACTAGCATCGCAGCTTCTGCCAAGATGAGAGACCAGTATGACGACTCATTCGCAGATCACGATTCCAACGAGTGAGGTACCACACATCATGCTAATGAAATCATCGGCTGACGAGCAACATGCGCAGATCCGATATTCATCTTATACCCACTGAAGGTGATAGCATCTCATGGAGCGAAGAGGGCGGCTTGGTCGCAGCCGACATACAAGGCATCCTGAACAGGAACAACATTCATTATGACGAAGCCTGCACTACTGAAATGGAGAACCCTGAATTCTTCGCTGAGGAGCAGACCTACGACTTGGGAGCAGATGAACACTTCCACCTTGAGAACGAGGACGTCCACCTTGACCACGTTGACCACGACAGACAGCATGCGGTGGAGCCCCTCCATCTGGACCTCGATGGCTCTGACTGCTCAGATCCGGGAGCTGCAGAGGACAAGTTGGAACAACAGCGCTACTGGCAGTTCGAAGAAGCGATATCTCAGCTGCAAGGACCCAGAGATCGCTTGACGGGTGACACTATCGAGCTGATGCAAGAGCTCATCGTGGATTCTGCCCTTGGTCGATCTGAAGCTGCTAATAACGCTCTACTCATGCACCCCCTATGGCTCAAGATTGATGGCGACTTGCCTTCCAAACTTCCCAGGGCCGCTTTCAAGGCGAGGCGCGTCTTCGCTGTCATGCACCACGACAATCCCCTGCACTGGACCCTTGGTGAGATCGACCTCACTGCGCACACTTTCAGACACTACGACCCGATGGGCGATGCGGAGATGATCTACAAAATCTGCCAACGTGTCTTGACTTGGCTGGAGGAATTGACGGGCGATGCTTTCATGATGGAAGATCTGGCAAGTCTCAACTCCAACTCGTGCGCCTTGGCATTTGGTGCTCTTGGCTGACCTGCACCCACCAGACCGGGCCCCGTCAACCTGATGCCACCAGCTGCGGTGTCTACGTCCTTGATGCCTTGAGCTACCTGATCGAAGAAAACCCTCTCCCCGAAGAGGCGGATATGATGCACCTCCGGCAGAAGCTGCTGCAGCTGGCTACCGAAGGCTTTGATGCAGATTTCCCCGGCGAGACAGTCAACTCTCACGAAGACCAGTTGAACGATCCAGATGTCTCGATCGCGTATTATGAACTACTTTCCGATGATGACGGCAGAGAAGACCAGGGCGCATCTCTGGACCTGATATGGGATGCCCAGACTCGGCCGTTGAAGAGAGCCATCGACGAAACGGACGCTAACGACATGCACAGAGACAACAATCATTGCACTTGCTCCCAGTGCACAAAGCGAGCCAGAATTGATGGATGATCAAGAGCTTTCAGAAAAGAGTGCATATACAAGGCTGGAGCCATGGTTGATACGCTGCATGAGCTTGCTTGCTACAGGAGGGACAACGTCTGAGAGCGTGTTCCGATGGTACGGAATGAGGATAACGGGGACTAGCGCACGGCCACTACATGTATGGATGCATTGGCAGAGACATCTGTCTTGCAGACATCGTGTTCGGGAAAGCTGTGGGAGGAACAGCGGCAACGTTTGAGTTGTCCCGCATGTTTGGATGGTGTGGTATGATGTTGGTCTACTTGCAGGATGAAATGGATGATGTACGTATTTTATTGGCTCCATCGGCCTTGACTTGATATCTGGATGGCGAAATCGCCATGAATACTGTTATTCTTCAACTTGTGATGTACTCCGCCGACTTGTGATCTTATCGTTGATGTGATTGCTCCCCAGGTTCTCGGCCGTCGTGTCCAAATCGCTATCTTCATTTGTGCTGCGTTCATCTTCGCCATTGCTTCGCACGGATGAAGACGATGAGATGGCACTTGAATGTTGTTCCGAGAATTGGACCAAGTGCGGTGTATTACTAGGCTTTCCTGGTACTGCCAGAAATCTTGGTCTCAACTTTTGCAAAGCTATGAGCCAGTCAGTCTGTCGCCTGTACTTTAGAAACCATGGTTGCATACCTCTTAAGTCATTATTTGGTCCATAATACCGAGGCTCCATCACCGGCAGTTTTCTCACGTATATTGGAGGGCCTAGATATACTATGCGGTGACGTCTTGTTTGCGGCATTAAGACGTGAGGCTGCCTTTTGAACGAGCTTTTGTGGTAAGTCGGTACTCGTCCTAGAGCTGATGGAGTTGTGTTCAGCTTGTCTGGAGCCATAAGAGTCAAGGTTGCAAGAGTTTTGAAGTCTTGAACCGACGACAGACTGAAGCAAGACGGATCACTCCGGTTTAAATGATTTCTGCATACTGCGACACGCTGTCTTGATGGAAAGAACTTATGTCTCCCAGCTCAGGATTACCAACCGAACAGCCCTATCAGATGACTACCCAACCCCGGTCAACCCCCATGGTTTAGTAGTTCGTCGGACGGCGAGCGAAACCTCTCAGCCACCGAAATAGGCAAGACATGTCGTGGATCGCTGTCCAGTCGGGTCATCACCCCCGGTCACTCCAGCCGAAGGATTCTCCGTGCTGATGTCAGCATCGTCGATGTGCCGAGGGACCTGCTTCCTTAATGCTAAAAGAGTGCGGGAAAAGGCTCTTTTGTGCTGACCCAGACCGATCCAGGGCGCGAAAACCTTGTCAGATCCCGCCTTGGCCTGCCGTCAGCGAACCCGTCAAAGGAAGCCTAGGATCTGGTGGAGGCGAAGGTTTTCTGGGATTCGAGAGTGCGAAGAATCGTTCGTCGCTTACGGCGCACCTGGCTGTGCCATGCGGCGGCAGCCGGACTACTCTTTCATGCCCAATCATGTTTGAGGAATAAGTGACCAAAGTGCAAGACATGGTTTCATCACTCTGTCACTGCCTAAAATTTGACAGTACTTTACTGAAAGCGGAGTTCTTGATTCGGATTTCGGTGAATGGTGGTCATCTCATCCCTCGCAGGAGCGCCTTTCGGAATATAGTGTCTGGAATTCCAGCGCAGAATTGAATGCCTACAGAATGAATGGGCGGGAATCAGTCACTATTGCGGCTCTTCTATTACCTGATGGTTTACGTCTCCGAATTGTTTGTGATGTCTCATTCAATCTATGGGATTTATCGCCGTGGTCCATCGCTGCCACAGTTCTGCGACAGAAGTCCAGTTACAGACAGACGCAGCGATAATTTCTGCAAACTAGGTTGGGGACATCTTTGACAAGACTGTATAGGTACGAATTAGAATCTGCCGACCCCCGGCGAGTGTTTTCAAAAGATAGCAGCTGGGAAACACCATGGCCGTATATAATAATAGCTACACTGAATCGTGCCAGTACTTCCTTTGGTCACAATCTTGTAATCACACATGGATCCAAAAGAATGACTCTAAATTGGCATGTGGGTCATTCTATCGTCCAGGGTTACTCCCTTTAAGACTACTTCGTAGTGATGCCAGGCAAGAAGTTCCTTCGCCTCCGAATCTTTTGTGGCGGGTTCCCTAAGCAACAAAACAAACGTATGATTAGCGGAAAGCGTCAAGCTTAGTTTGTTTGGCCATGCTAATGATTGAGCAATCGCATAGAGTAGAAAGATAGGTAGATCTGTTTGCAAGCAAGGACAGTTTCAGGTACGAAAACTGAAGCACGTATTCTCCTCAATGCGGATGAGAGTTTGCGCATTCGAGTGGTTTGCACTAAAGTAAAAGCGCGTCAAAAAGGCATTATGCAGGATGCTATCTTGAGAGGTGTGCTTTCTAGTAAGTATCGATGATGCGATGTCATCCGTTGATTTGATTTTGACAACACCCAGAAAGGTTTCTCTTCGGGTAGCCATCACCCTTGCCCTGAAAACAATCCTCGCAAACGGTTTTCCGCTGCTGCATTGATACAAGAACTTGTTGTCGCCAATGTTTGGTCCCAAAAGCCCCGCAAGCATGGCAAAATCCCGACTTGATGTGACATTCAGCGCGGTGCCACGTTGGTTGCTGCATGCACATGCACAATCATGTCACATCTATCCCATTTTGGAAAATGCACGAATACTGCGCACCAACAAGTCTTATCACGTCTTCTTCGGCCAGAAAACCGCATGGTAGTCACGGAGATGCATTGAAGCTGATATAACGGCGCGATTGATGGTGTTCTATGCCAATATGAGAAGGCTTGGAATCCGGTAGATGAATGAAGGGCAGTACAGTCACGTATATAAGTAGGGTCATCCACAAAACAAAAAGCTTCAACAATATCAGGCCATCTCAACTGCAGGTTAGACAGTCATCGCGTTCTGCTCTTCAGCTACTGCAATGGAGACATCTCCTGTACACCGCTCCGCTCACCACAGGATGACGGCCACCGAAGTGCGGCGTCTCATCGATGCCGATGAAGAAACATTGGAAAGATATGTAAACTCGCTTCTTGAGAGATACCAAGAACGCGATCTAGATATCAAAGCTTGGGCGCACATCGAGCCTGACAGGGCCCTTGAACAAGCTCGATTGCTTGACCGAATTCCACGGCAACGAAGAGGCCCACTGCATGGATTCGTCATTGGCGTCAAAGACGCCATCCTAACAGAGGGTAAGATCCATTCTTGTTCATAATGGGAGACTCTGGTTTTAACTACTCCGCACACAGAATTCCCCACCCGCCATGGGTCACCGATCCACGCCAACGATGCCCCCCTGTGCGATGCAGCGTCAGTCGCTGTATTGAGACGGAATGGGGCGCTGATTCTAGGCAAGTGGCGATGGTCGCTTCAACCAAGCAAGCGCTGACATTGCCCACAGGAAAAACAACCACCACGGAATTCACAGCAACCTTTGAGGGACCAGGCACAAGAAACCCACGCGACACTTCGAGGACACCTGGTGGATCCTCCTCCGGCTCAGCTGCCGCTGTTGCAGACATGCAAGTCCCGGTTGCTCTTTGCACTCAGACGGTTGGAAGCGCTATCAGACCAGCATCATTCACAGGAGTCTACGCCTTCAAACCAACATGGAACGCCATTTCACCCGAAGGCCAAAAGATGTCGTCATTAACTCTAGATACTTTCGCCGTCATGGCGCGCAGTATTGCTGACCTTCAACAAGTAAGCAAAGTGCTTGGGCTTCGAGATGATGAGCCACCTCGGCAAATACCATTGAATGAGGCAACGTTTGCTTTCGTGAAGTCGTCGATATGGCCAAGTGCCGGGCCCGGCACTGTTGCGGCTCTGCAACGAGCCGCCAAGATTCTCATAAACGCCGGCGCGCATGTTGTTGAAGTCACGTTACCTTCTGAGTTCGACGATATACTCTCTTTGCAGAACGAGATACTGGAGGCCGAAATTGGTGTAGCTTTCCACAGAGAATATAGCACCTCGCGGGACCAGATCGGTGACTATCTCGCAAGTATTGCACAGACTGCTCACACGGGGTCGAAGAAAGCATACGTGAGAGCTCTGGACAAGGTTGCGGCGCTGAGACCAAAGATGGACGAGATCGCTGACCGGTACACGGCGATTGTCACACCCAGTGCCATAGACGTGGCACCTAAAGGGACGGGAACCGGTAGCTCAGACTTCAACGCCATGTGGACGGTAAGTCTAGCTCCATCTCGTCAAATTCTTTGTACTCATTAACATATACAGGCCCTTCATATGCCCGTCATTAATGTTCCTGGATTTAAGGGTGAGGATGACATGCCTGTGGGGCTATCTCTTGTCACATCGAGGTTTTGTGACGAGCATCTACTCCAAGTTGCGCGGCAAGTAGGTGGTCTCTTCGCCGCCAAGGGAGGAGATATCTGAGGTTTCGGTTTTGCCTGTTCGATTGTGGTTGCGTAGCCTATGTGTTAGTAGAAAGGGGTACCATAGCTCGCAGCAAAGTCCAAATGTTGGTATTGGAAGTGATAATCAATTGGCCGAGAAGAATTGTCATGCCTACGAAATTGAGCGATAATTAGCAGATATCTAATCTATTGATTTGGGAAGAATGTATCGATTATCTTGTGCCCTTTCTGCCAAATATTCCCCATCAACTCTCGCCTTGTGGGGTGAAGATAAGTTCTGTAGGCGAAGCTCTGCAGATAATAACGAGTCTTCTCCTGTCTCGGATTTCCTGTAGTCAATTTAAGTTTACGCAGTAGAACCTTGTGTTATGAACTCGGCCTCTTGGACCGATCACGGCCAGGAAATCGGGTTTCTGATACGGCCCGAGACACACCAACCCTTCCCCGAGAGGGACCCAGCTCATGGCCGAGATTCCGGGTCAATTGAAATGCTCAGAGTGAATATTTACTTAAGCGCAGCATAAGTCTTGTTTCTTGAGACTGAAGCTCTCAAGGTTATTTTGAAGCTCCCCTCTCTCGTTGTGACCTTCACTTGTCCAGTAAGACAAAATGCCGGCTATTGATCTTACCAATCGTGCCGTTTGGCTCTCTTCCTTTTCGAAACCCCTCTCCGTCGTGGATCTCCCTGTGCCAAATGCGGACGTAGGAACCGCGGTGGTCAAGATTCTAGCCACTGGCGTCGCTCCCTATACTCACCTGATCCATTCAGGCAAACTGCCTGCTCTCAACTTGACGCCACCGTTCATCCCAAATCCATCCGGCATCGGACGCATTCACGACGTTGGACCGGATGCCGTTCGTCTCAAGAGGGGCGATCTCGTATTTATCGACGGCTTGATCAGGGCTCGAGACGACGCAAATGTCGCCCTTATGCCCGGTCATATGACTGGAGGTCATCCAGACGCCCAGAAGCTCATGAGAGGGGTTTGGCGAGACGGTTCCTTCCAACGATATCAAAAGGTTCCACTGGAAATCTGCTTTCTACTTGATGAGAAGCGTCTCTGCGGCGACTTGGGCTACAACGCAGCTATCCTCCACACCATTGCGCACTATGCCGTCGCTGCCGGCGCTTTACTAGAAGCCGCTCGAGTCAAGACTGCTGAGGTCGTCGTGGTCGGACCTTCTGGTGGTTCATTTGGTGGTTCAGCGGTCGAGATTGCTCTCGCTGTTGGTGCTGAGGTGATCGCGTTGGGCCGGAGCGAAGCCAAATTGGCAGCGATGCAGGAAAAGCTAGCCAACCCTCGCCTGAAAACCGTCGTCATGACTGGAGACGATCAAGTTGACGCCGCAGCCATACTGAGGGCAACGCCAAACAACAAGGGCGCCGATGTGTTCAGCGATTGGACTCCAGGGGAGTTGGCAACGCCGCCATACCTCTCAGCTGCGGTCTTGGCCATGAAGCAGAGTGGAAGGATCGTACTGAGTGGAGGAGCGGGAGAGAAATGCCGACTTCCCTGTGGGCTTCTTATCTTGAAAAACATCCAACTGATCGGCAAATGGATGTATGAGCGTCAGACGCTTGAACAGGTCATCAATATGATCGCCCAGGAGCAGTTGAGAATTGGCCTGGAAAGTGGAACAGAAATCACGACCTTCGGTTTAGACGGCCACGAGGATGCCGTGGAGCATGCACGCAAACAGGGGGGTTGGAGGTCTTACACCGTCATTGAGCCTAACCGTGACTGACCGAGTCAGCGCAACGAATGGAAGACGCGTTTCCTCGTTTTCAACGATGAGTGTCTATACCGAATACATTATTCAAGATCGGCTATGATTCGAGTTATTTTGTGCGCAAGTAAAGAAGGATGACGGCTCGGTGCATCGGTTCCTATCAGGCTAGCCATAGTGCCTCCCACAGCGACGCCGGCAACGGCCCGAGCCTGTGTCAGTGATTGCTTGTGAGGAACAACCTGGACACCCTATCAAAACCGAACAAACCCCCGGGTCTCGGCGTGAGTAAATGATTCGTTACAGACTGTCTAGCCCTGCATCCGCAGTAGCCGTGAGCTGATGAGCTGAAGGTGCATTAGAGGCGTAGGCTCGGCGTGCTGCCCACCAAAACTCAATTCGCTCCGTTTGCATGCGCCATTATGCATCTTTCATCACCCACATTTTGGGCATGGCGGAAGGGTTTGGGGGTCCTCGGTAAGACGTCTGCGGGCGCACATCCGGCGGGATACTACTGGCTTTCCAGATCCTGGCGGCACTGGGGGCTGCGTCTTGCATTACTATCCTGGGCATTTTGCAGCGCTATTGTCACTGTAGCCAGCTTGGCTGCCGTCGCCAAGAAAATGCCGGCAACTTTGTGGCCTCTTCATCGTCCTCTTTCACACCGGTCTCCGAATTGGGAGAATGCCATGCACATGGCACGTCAGCAACCCGCAGCATCGAGACTTTCTCGACATTATGGGATCTTGCGATGATTGAGCGCCATCGTGCGATTGGACTCCTCTGAGGATCCGTTGGGTAGCGCTGCGTCCGTTTGCGAAGCTGGGCTTTGGGCTATGGAGCCGGCCACTCGAAATGTCATTCAAGTGATGTCTTTGGTCTGAGCCACAATGTCCAAGTTGCCAAGAGCTGGTATCTCTCCTGCATCACTTCTCACATCTATGCCAGAGTTCACAAGACGTCCCCTTCCGGCTCCCAACTCGCAGGCCCCTGCTAGCCGACGTCGAAGGTGGGTTCGGCACCATCTGGTCACGGATTGCTCCGCCGATGGTTCACCGTTGATGTTGCATCAAGCCGTGCACATTGGTCAACTCATTTTCAATTCTCTACACGTGATCATCCACAGCAAGTAATTCGCCTCTCGTAGCTACACATCGCAAAGATTCGTTGGAAACTGAATCTAGTCACATCCGACATCATTCACATCTCCAAAAATCGCAACATTTGAGAAGTCTATAACTTCGTCCCCAAACGTGATCAACGACAAGTTGATCTGGGTTGCACCTTCAGCTGGAACAGAGACTGGACCGACAACTGAAGTGTCAGTCTCGTCTGTGGTTGATGTACAGTTGACAGTGCCATCGTTGACATTTCCAAAGATCGATATGCCGGAGATGTCGATGACTTCGTCGGCGAAGGTAACAAGTGATATGGAAATAGAGCTGATTTCAATGCTCGGTATTCCAAGGTTGATCGGACCAATTAAAGAAAGTGAGGATGACTGTCGGGTGGTGACCGAACTGGCCACGGCGAGAGAAGCCAGAAGTGCTGATGAAGCCTTGCGGAGCTGGAGCGAATGCATGTTGGGATATTGATGTTTCGTGACACCCCGTAGTGTCATCTGAAAAAGAAGTTCTGAATTCGTTGGAATCTATGCGGAATGTGAGACAACTGAGACTCCAGAAGAAGATAAGTGTCACGGCTTTATATCTTTTCGAAGCCATGCTCTTTGAACTGAGCGATGAGGTGAGGTAGCGTCGTCAGCTTGTGTTGAAGCTGCTAAGCCCAGCTTTTCTCCTCGTGATGCATGGTAAGTCTGGGAGACTAATCCCATTGTACCAGAGCCGTGTTTGAGTCGTGCTCCCGCCAAGAGTCAATGCAACGGAGGAACTGCCTCCTATGTTCGATTTTACTCCAAGGGTCGTGATGGCTACGCCGCTTATGGAAGTTGAGTGAACATTGTCACCATCAGATACTCAATTAGACTTCACTTGTGCGTCGCCAGAGAGGTTACTGTCACGATCCCTTGTATGGCCGAAGTCTCGTGATGTTTTGACTGATCCTTGGCCGAAAACCTGCAACGAGGACAGATCGAGGCCCTGATAATGTCCCAGTCAAGCCAAGTGGTAAAAGATCCGAAACTCCATGAGCCAGCACGTAATGAGACACATGTGCATTACTTTATGCAACGCTTGCGTGCATTTCGGAATAAGGCTGGACCTGGTGAACCGTGGGCGTCGTGCTCTTCCACCTACCAGCAGCCTAAGACTAACTAATTAGGAGTAAGTGATGTAGCACTAGTGGGGTGGCCCGGCCCTCATGTCGTGTAACCATCGCCATCTTGTCTCTCCCACGTGTGAACACGGCATAGCTTTTTTCATCTCTCCTAGGGACTACTAAACCCAGAGTCTCGGATTCAAACGTTACACCGAACTGGATTTGTGGCAATTTCACTTTTTGTTTTCTTGTTTTCTTTTTTTGAGGCGGCCTTTCAAGCTCACAACTTTGAAGTGTTCTTGACTTACCCATCCTTCAGTTGGCCGTTGGCTGTTGTTGGTGGCCCCTCGCCTATCTGCAAGTTTGCAAACATGTATGCAAGCACCCGATGGACGAGCATCTTTCCCTCATTCAGTTCTTGGAGATCGAACTCAACAAATTCGACGGACAGACTGACGCACAAACTGCAAAATCTGTCTTGCAAGTGTCTATGCAGCAGACTGGTCGATGTAGCGGGTGACAAAGATAAAACTCTGCGATCCTCCGCTATGGGACGCCTTCTTAACCCCTCCTATGTACACTTCCGACCTCATTTTCCCGTTTCTGTCATCAACCAAACTTGTCCAACTAGTGTCTTGTGTTTTCAAACACCCCAATCAACTACAACCTCATTTTTCATGATCCATCATCATGCTTCCGCCCTCTGTCCATAGTCAGTATGTCCGGTACAAGGAGAACACCACCTCCTTCGTCAACTGGCTTTTCGGACAGGCCAAGAAGGTCATGAAAACCGGATCCCTTCCTCCGCTGTCGGCAGACCTCTCCACCCAGCATCTGCTCCCGATGGCCCAGGCCTGCAAGAAGGCTTCCATCGCTATGCCTGCCATGCAGCGCTCTTTCCTCGAACGAGCAGTCAGCCTTCGTCGCAAAGTCGGAGCACACTACGTTGCGGGTGGCTCGGCGGCTACCTCTGACGCTGATGACAGCCATCGGTTCTTCACTGACTGTCTTCAACGCATTCTCGACCTCTTCCCGGCACCCACGCCCGTCGCTCGTCCCGCTACCGACTCGGCGCCCATCCCTGACATGGACGAAAGCTTCATCAACCAGTTCAGCATTCTCCACGTCGAAGGACACGATGACATCCATCCCGAATCTCTTGTCAATGAGCCTGCCGATGAGTGCCCCTCGCCTCCTCCGCAACAGAGGCCTGCTGCTCGCGTGAGCAACCAATTGCTCGACCTAGTCGACGATCCCCGAATCGAACTCTGGTGCTTGCTGATTGAAATTCGCGACATCCGGCGCTACGTCAAGAGCATCTGGGCGGAATATGTCGCCGGCAAGGTCGATCTTGTCACCGCCAGCCTCGTCACGGAAGCAGCCTTCGAGTCCATGGAGATCATGAACGAGAATTTCTGCTAGCAGCACAGCCACCTCAACGGTCTGCGCCAGATGATCGGTTGCATCACCAGTGGCTGGAAGTCGAAATGGCCCCCGCACCTTGTGGACATCCGCTTGCTGAGAGAGGGGTTCTTCGTTGAGGCCAAGGATTCCAATGACAAGCGCTACATGCTTGGCCTCGACAACACCCCATTCATCGACGATGTGATGGACTTGACGCTCGCTCCTGAGTACAACATGCTACTCGAATTGGCCAGAGACGACGCCAGCCACCCCTGTAGTAAGCGACGGCCTGCGTGTGACCTCGACTACCAACGCCTCCGACGGCTCGAGGCGGGTTCGATGTGCCATGAACAGATTGGACACGTGTGGCGAGCAGATTGCTTGATGCGGTCCCTGGCGCATGGACAACGCGAAAAGCGCATCCACCTGAACGTGGCAGCCATGGTCAATGTCCACTTGGATCTGATGCGCATGCCCGGGTTGCTGAAGATGGTCGAAGAGGACTACGACCGCTTCGCAAACAGATACCCCCAAGACTACTACGGCATCGACCCGGGAGACTCTGAATTTCAGATGTGGAACAAACGCAACCTCGTCAAGTTCTTAGCCTGGATGGACCCGGATGACAACTTCGAGGGCAAGGAATACTTCAAGATCAACCCCGTGTTTGCCGGCCTCACCATCTTCTTCTGCTGGGAACGAACACTCAACGCAATGGTACAGACCGTGACAAACGGCTGGGCTCTGATGCCGATGGCCCATGCTTACAACTACGGACGCGTGGTAGGCACCAAGGTAGGGAAGTGGGATGACATGGAGACCATCATTGCAATACAGGGACGGGAAATCTTCACGTCTCAGCGGCCTACCGACGGCCTGCAGTGCGAGACCCGGTACTGGCTGGCGATGGGCGGAAAGCCGGGCCACATCACCCAGCTGAGGAAGCAGAAGGCATTCATTTATGATGAGATGAAGGCTCTGTCGTTTCCTCGTCCGATCGCTAGTTGCAAGGAGCTCCGAGATGGCAATGCCGTCGAGAACGATCGTATGATACGATTCCTCGCCCGGAGAAATAAACTCGGTTACCGGCGAGAGCTCCATCCGACTCCTATCCTATTCGGCGTCTTTGTCAACAACGATCTCGCCCACAAGCTCTTCACAATCAACGACGGCATCCTCCCTCCCAAGATTGAAAAGCACGTCAAGAGCTGCCTCGATGATCTCGGAAAGCCGGCGCAGCAGAAGCTATCGGTCCCGCAGTTCCTCGACGGCCTGCTGGCAGTCGCCCAGTGCGAGATTCCGAACATCTTCTTTAACTACTTTGACTTCAACAGGTCTTGCCTCGACGCCCACGTCGCGCTCCACTGGAAGGTGACGGATGTCATTCCTCACAAATACGACGACCTCGACAAGAGCTTGTTCATCGATCTATTCTACAACGACGCCCTTCGCGAGTCGGTGGTGAAGATGGCTGCCGAAAGCGGCGACGTACATCACCCTACGCATTTCGCCGAGGACTGGAGGAAGTTTTGCAGGCTAGTCCGCCCTTTGCTCCCCTCGTACGCCCAACGCATTACTGACTTGCCTTACACAGCGAGATGAGAATATTCCCCCGAACGGAGTACGGCTGGGAGGAGAAGTACAAGGCTGCTATCAAGGGCCGCATGAGTGACTGGTTCAAATGAAGGTTTCATCGGCGTGTCCAGGGGAGGTACCGTGGACCACGAACGTTTTGGATGGATAGTATCTGGTGCTTGTTGCTAGATGGCTGGAGGCAATGGTAGAGTATCCCAATACTATGTTGGAAGAACGCTTCCTATCACACTTTCCTGGCGTTCGGACACGGCATGCATGAGTAATACTCATGTTTATGAACCCGAAAGACTTCTATCAGGACTACAACAGCCAAAGGCGTGGATAACTCAGACGTCTCGGCAAGGGTTGACGTCCTGCTCACGGGAGATATAGCGTTGTGCTTGCCAGAACCCCTCATGTGAGTATTTGCCATTGATCTTTGGCCATCCGCCGGGCGGGATCGAAAAGGCCCTGGCGTACGCCATCCGAGTCATCGTCGAGCACTCAGCGCCGCTGGCCTCCCAGAGACGTCCGCCAATGCTCAAACCTTTCAGTTTATCATCCACCTTGCTCCATTTGTTAGGTCGCGACCATTGGATGTCGTACTTCTCGCGCATGACATCGAGGGCTTCCGTCCAGGTGCCGAAAGACATGTGTGGCTTGTGTAACTCCGTAATCCACAGGGGTCTGTTGCCGAGAAAGCCCTTGAGCTTCGTGGAGTCCATGCAAACGCTGTTCAACGTGGTTTTGCGCAGGTGCGGCCAAGGCCTAGCTTTCCAAAGGGATTGAAGATAATATCTCACGGGGTCGTCCACGTTCTCTTCCCGCAACGCCTCGAAGCTCAGGTCGAGCTCGCGAAGGTTATTCGACGATAGAAGACAGTCGAGAAACTCATCCAGGCTGTCTAGTTCTTCGGGTTCTCTTGGGGGGTAATTCCCTGCTATGGGCGTCCTGTTAAATGGGTCGTGTGAGATGTGAAATTTGAGAAACTCCACGTTTCGCATAGCCCGCTGGAAGCCCTCACTGGCATCGGGTGTGACCCTGAACCCGGTGAGCGTATTAGGTGCGGTGACATTGATTTCAAGATGCTTGAGCTGGACGTTGCGACTTCCCATCGTCGATAAGAGGCTTACTAACATCAACAGACACCTATTCTGCGATCCGGCTGAGGGGAGGTTCCTCGCATTATCCCAGTTGCTCCCCCGCGTGAAAAGGTCAAAGAGCGGCCCGTCAGTGAATTTGTTGCGTGTGTCACGGTATTTAAGGCTCCAAGGCTGGTCATGGCAGTGATCCGAGAAGGTCAGGGTCTCGACGTTGGGCATCCGGGCGATGGCGTCTGCAACTAATCGGACAAAGTTGTCTCCCTCATTGTAGATCCCATCCAGGACGCGGAATTCCTCAGCCACCTTGTTGCGATAGACGTCCCAGCAGTGAAAGAGAAACGTGTGTTGTGAGAACTTGGCATACCAATCGCCTCCCGGCACCCGAGCATTGAAACCCTCATCGCGATCGAGGCTGTGGAAATGTCTGACACCGGCCATGAACTCGTAATAAGCTTGTTCTTCTCCTGGCAACCCACCGCACCATCGACCCCTCCCAGTCGCCTCATCGGTGATCATGAAACGTTGTACCATGATATAAAGAACGTGGTCGACGAAGTGCGCGGGATTTTCTGCAATGAAGGCATCTTGATAAGGGGCAGCGATACGAATGGTCTTAATGCCCCTCCCTAGACTCGGGTGACGAGAGATGTAAACAAGTTTGGTAAGAGATTCGTCCGTCAGACGCACAGTGAGGAAGGAAAAAAGCAGCGGGGCGATCATGTCCGCAAGAGATCGACAAGTGAGGCGCAGAGACTTCATCACGTCCAGCTCTTCCTTGTTGCGGAGGTACTCTGGCGGGCGATATCCCCTCTTGACAATGGTCTGATTTTCCTCGAAAGCGAAAATCCGTGCGAGAATGTCGTGCGGCATGTCGCCGAGGTTTAGAGGCCGCATATGCTTCCGAGACCGAGTCCGAACGATTCCCCGGATGTACTTACAGCGTTGGAGCAGCCGTTTGGCGAGGTCGACGTGGAACCTGGCTTGGTACTCCTCGGCATTCAGAGAGTAAGGTTTGGGATCGAAGGGGCGGGTGGGTTCCTCCTCTTCGTCAACATGGGCCTTGTGATGCGCTTCATGTTCGTGCTGAGGCTGAACCGCGCCATTGGCGTTGTGATGCGACTCCTGGCCATCCGCAGCCTCGACCGCGTTATTGACGTTGGGCTGACCTAGGCCGTCAACGTCGTCGTCCTCATCACTGAAAATGGGTTGGCCCAGGCCGTCAACATCGTTGAAATCGTCGTCGTCGTCCTCGTCTTCCAAATCGTACCAGCCGTGGGCAGCCCTCAGGTCATCCTCAAAATCCGAGAGGCCCTCCTCGTAGAAATAGGCATGCTGCTCTTGCGGAGGGACGACAACGGCCTCAATGAATTGCGAGCCGACATAGAAACCCTTGACAGGCCAATCATCTTGTATGTGGCGCAAGGCTTCGTCAATGTCGTGTAGGTTCTGGTAGAGCGTGGCGAGATCGGCCGTGTCGAGGTCCTCGAGAGGGCGACGGCGCAGCTCGTCGGCGCGTGCATCGATTTGTTCGGGGGACCACCTGCGGTCGCCCAGGACAGACTGGGGAATTCTCACGTCGGGATAGTCGTGGAAGGAGTCGTAGGATTCCGCATGAGGGTCGCAGTATCCTTTGACCTTGTGCCATTCGGTGTCAAACCAGATGGTGCTGAAAAAGTTGCCGGCCGGGTTATCCGGGTCTTCTATCGTCAACTGGTCCAAGGCGCCTACAGGGTCCATGGCGGTAATCGAGCCGTGTTTTTGAGCGGTGCGAGTTGATCGGTATTCGGAGGTCGTTCAGCAGCGTCTTTCACGTCTTTCGCGGGTGGCATTCGGAGGCGGGGGAAATAATCGTAGATAATCGTATAGATGATAGGGAAGCGTGATGCTCGGAAGAAGGGGCGCGGGGCACTTTCATCCATTCCTTGACCGTGTCACGACGCGGTCCATCAAGTTCAATAGTACGCGACATCCATGCGCCCGGCCAGGCACCGGAATGCCACCATGACGTATTCGTACCTTTTGTAATTGGCGGCCAGGATCCGATTGGCGCCGCTCATCCGTGGCGAAAAGAAGAAAGACGGAGAGAAGAAAAAGAAAATGGAGCGTGGGTAATCATGAAACGAGGAGGGATATCGTGATGGCGGGACGGGACTTCATACGCTATCTCGGTAGTTGTGAATGATTGACGACACTACCTACCTTGCTACCTTACAAATCGAGCATCACACGATGGAAACAGTCCAATTCTTGCCCCCCCCTTACCAGGCCCCCGGCCTAGAGTGAGTGGTGATCCTGCAACAGCGTGTGAGTGACCTCAATGACATACTCGGCAAGCAACAAGTAAACCTGGGTGTGCAGAGGAACATCATCCCGGCGCATCATGGCATCCCGACGTTGCCAGAGTCCCCCCGGGCGTCGCATCGCTTCGCGTTCTTCGGGTGCCGTAGGCCAAGGGTCCTCCGTCAGGTAGTAGAATCGCTCTGCACGCGAGCACCACATGACCGCCTCCTAGAGGGTCACGATGGGGCAGGCGATGCTCCGAGCCATTGTGCCGACTAAAGATCTTCCACCCGTATACGCTCTGCTGGAATATCGGCGACGGTTGTTCGCGTCGTCTGGCTGCTCCAAGAACCATTCGTTCGTATCGAGATCGACCTCTTCGCTTTGGTGTTCGTCGTTCGCATCGGACGCTGGCTGGTTTTCCACGAGAACGTAACTGCGACGGCGTGAGAACAGGGCCTGAAAAGAATACGACAACTTACCTGTCCATGTCGGCCAACAGCTGCAGGCCTCTCGCGCCGAAGGGGCACCAAGGGGACTCAATTCCAGAGACTTCCAAGCTTGACGAAACGAAAATTGGAGTAAACCGCACTCGCGACGACTCAAATCGGTGACGGCAGCATGTCCGTTTGAATGCGCTGGCGCTGACTGAAACAGGTTGCTGAGCGATTGGTTCCACGGGTGCGAGACGGTGCTAGAAAAGATCGAAAATAACCAAAACAATCGGCCATTCCGAAACGAGACGGCAAGCGCTGAAAAAAAACGTTGCTGAAGCGCTTGTCCGTTTGATGCCGTGAGACAACCGAAGGACGGTGCGATTGTGACCTCCAGGGACCGGCGCCGCATCCTTCCATCTTACGTGATCGGGAACTGCTGCGGGAAAAAAAGGTTTCACCCGTGATCCGCCTGCAAACGCAGATTCCGCGAGATGCAAGCGACATGATCCAACCAGGCTCTGCTTTGCCGGGCGGCTCTTGCGCCGGCACCCATTTGGCGCCAAGTTCGCATTGAGACGACCAAATACGCCAGCTTTTCAACCAGCTTTGTCGGTATCAGCGCCGTTTGCCAATTCGCGACCGTCGTCTTGCTGCAGCAAATCCAAGGAAGCGTCTTCTCCGCCACCACCTCCGCCCCCGTCAGCTCTCTCCCTCGACTTCTGGTCTGCCAGGTCAACATGGCGTCGCGCTGGTGTCAACACTTTCCGATGTCTCGTGGGCTGCACGCTCGGTGATTTCTCCGCCATGTGGTATCTGCAAGCCTTTCATCCGGAGATGGCGATGGAGGCCGTCATGGGCATTTCGAGTAGGTCTTGCGCCGTCGCCGAGAGGCATCCGAAGAATATCGACTGATCTGGCGCAGTGGCGAGCGGTCTTTCAACGTCGCTGCTCCTCGAGACCGTCCTCCTCAGGTTCGGAAAAGACGGGCTGTCGTGGCCTGTCGCGGCCAAGACTGCAGCTGGCATGAGCATGATATCCATGATCACGATGGAGTTGGCCGAAAACGCCGTGGATTACCACCTCACGGGGGGCATCGTGCAGTTGGATGACCCGGCTTTTTGGGGTGCTGCGGCCGTCTCTGTGGCTGCTGGTTTTCTCACGCCTCTTCCGTATAATTACCACAGGCTGAGGAAGTTTGGCAAGGCATGCCACTGAGAATGGTGGTTCGCCGTTGGTTCCCAATTTATGTTGTACGATATTTCCGCTGGCACTCAAAAGATCAATGATGCGGGTGTGGCGTTTCCCTCCTGCTCTCTCGCCGCGCGCAATTGCTCGATGTATTTCTGAAGGCGATGGATGTATCCAGACTCTTCATGCACCTAAAGCAGCTCATAATCAGCACTTTGTAACACCTTCCTCGTTGTCTGAGGCATCTCACATTGCGGTTGAAGGCATTCATGTACGTCGTGTCCGCGCCGTTGAGCAGCAGAGTCTTGATGACGGGGAGCGGATCACCATTGTGAAAATCCACAGCGGCGCTGAAGGGATTCATCGTGAGACGGTGAACTTCAACACTTTTGTGGACCAACGCGGGGTTCCTGTCAATCATGAGCTGCACCAGGTCTGGATTCCCGCTTCCGAGGGCCGCCGCCCAGCTCATATCGACCCGAGCGCCGCTTTCCAGCAACAGTCGTGCGCATTCCAACGAGCCGCTGTGCGAAGCCATGAAAAGAGGGGTCAGATGTTCCAAGGGGACATCTTCCTCGCTCGGATACTGTAACGGAGTCGCGTTGATGTCGGCCCCGTTCTTGACCAAGTGCTCAACGATGTCGTAGAGTCCCGAGTATGCCGCCAGGTGCAGGATGGGGTACTCGCCGTAGAAGTAGCCAGTCCCGATGCCGCCTTTCCAGTGGAAATACAGGTAGCTGAGATCGGAGGCAGTCGGTGGTGGGTGGTATTTCATATCGCCCGGCTTGCAGAAAGGTGCTGCCCGCTTCATCATTCGGAGGGCGTGCGCCTCTGCCTCGGGGCTGGGCTCGTCTTTCATGGGGTCGTCGTAGTGAACCGCCGGCCAGAGAAGCCGAGATATCCAGGGCAAGCCGCGCGATTGAAAGTGCCGCTCGTAGTATGCGCTCAGCGAGTATTCAGTGTAGCGGCGACCGAGGCAAGCCATGGACAGGAGGTCGACATGATTATCGATCTGGTCGATGATGGCGTCGATTATTTCTGGGGGAAACCAAGGCCGCCGCTCCGCTGCCGTCGCTTGCAGCGTTTCATCCGGGGCGTGACGGGGTGCGACCTGCTCAGAAGTCATCTTGTGGTTACAACACCTGGAGATTTGGTGCTCGTCAATGAAGCAAATGTGAAGATGCTGCCGATTTTTGGTGAGGGATGTAGGGAGTCGATGCGCAAGCGACTCGTGTCTGACTTGCTGCATCCCACAGATGAGGTAATCCTACGCCGCCACATCACGAGGTTTGGGAGGATGATGCTTGGGACTTGTCGTGTCTTTTGTGGATAACGCCAATGAGGCGGCGACTGGATGCACATGATAAAACACTTCGGAAAATCAGTCAGGAGGGTGAGGGCAGTCTTCTTCAATACACTCCGTTGCGTTGACAGCGTCCGCCCCCAAGTTTGACTCGGAAGGGAAATTTTCCGCTAGCCTAGAAACCCCTCAAAACCCCCTAAACTTCACACTTTAATAACTCTATGCGTACGTAATGCGCGTAAATAAAAAACACATCAATCGATAGCCCTTAATTAGGTGATTATAATGATATGTTTTTTATTTACGCGCATTATATACGCATAGAGTTATTAAAGTGTGAAGTTTAGGGGGTTTTAAGGGGGTTTCTAGGTTAGCGGACACTTAACGCAACGCTGAAAAGAAAAAACGAAACCCCCGGCGCGTTGCGTTGAACTATCCGCTCAAAAAACCCCTCAAAATTAGCCTTAACTTCACACTTGAATAACTCTATGCATACGCAATGCGCGAGAATAAAAAAGATATCATTATAATCACTTAATCGAGGGCTATCGATTGATATATTTTTTATTCTCGCGCACTACGTACGCATAGAGGTATTAGTGTATGAAGTTTAGGGCGATTTGGTGGTTTTTCGGTAAAAAGCCCCTTTTTTTGCCTTTTTCGGGCTAAAAACTGCGGGGTGGACGCTGTCAACGCAACGGAGTGTAACAGGGCGCGATTTCCTATTGCTGCATGTTGCATTTCCTGGATGGCCTATTAAGGCATGGCTCTCATCGCAAGCCCTTACTCATGCGACAGAATTTCACTTCACAAACGAGATACTTCAATGGACCTGGGAAAGAAAGATTTATTCTATTTCATATCCAGCTCCTACCACTCGCCAGCCGAGTCACACACAGCTGAGTCGGAGGTGGGTTCAAGAAGGGTCTGAATTTGAGCATGTTCGCTCACTGAGGTGGTGGAAGCCCACTGCTGTGATGGGAACCATAACTGACCACTAAACCCAGACGCTCGCAAGCGAAACCAAACCGTCTTTTCGAAAGGGTGATAGTTCCAATCTTCATCGCTAATTCCTTTTCTTTTTTTGCGTACTTTCTTTCCCGTTTGTTTTCTTGTTGTTTTCCCTTTTTTCTCGTTGTTAAATCCTGACGTGAGATCAGTTTAAGATGTCGAGCCAACAGTGGCCTCTGCGACAATGCAGTCACTAAATCGGGGCGTTCCAGTAGGTAAATGACAGTGTGGCCAGGTGCATAGCATCGCGACATCTCTCTCACGACATCACTTCGTCACAAGCGGCTACTCCTACGAAGATTCGTGATGAACGACACGAATTTGTCCAGAGGTGCGCTGCCATTCAGAGATTCTCTGGCGCAGCGCTGCGTCCCTGGCCTAGAGAGCCTGTGGCATGACCTGCTTCAGAGCTTGCAGGACCACACGAGCAACATCAGCTTGGGGCTGCCGTGCCTTTCGCTGGTCAATCGCAAATTTACGGGCGGCGAAAATGATTTTATTCAGTGACTGGCGCTGCTGGTTTGTGAGCTTAAAGTTCGAGCCAAGGAAGCGCAGAGCTTTAGGGAGTTGGGCGGGCGAAAGGCGCTGTGTCATGGCCCCGATGCCCTTCCAAAACCTCAGTTCGCGCTCTTTGAGCTGCGCATTGTCAGCGGCGATGCAGGCATGCTTTGCTGCTGTAGCGCGGGTCGTCCGGGCGTGTCGGGGCCCCGGGACGGATGCGTTCACCAGCTGCTGTATACCTTGCTCTACGGAAAGAATAAGTTAGGGAATTTCAAAAGACACAAATGGCGAGGTGCAGTGTAGAACATAAGAAGGTGCCATCGATTGAGGAAGAAGAAGAAGAAGCGCACTGATCAAAATGAGCATCCCGCGGCGCATGTCTGCCTGCAACATCATCTGCGACATTGAAGCGATAGATGAGGACTGCTGCTGGGCCATAGTGAGAAGGTTGAGAAGGTAGGCTACCTAGGTACTGTACTAGAGACTAGGTAGAGGACGTAAGGTTTAATATTCTACTTAAAAAGCTATAAGGTCTAATAGAGAGATAAGTAAAGACGGAAGATATAGAAGTAAACAAGAGAAATTAGCAGGCTTATATACTTTTAGATAATTCTAAATTAGCTTAGCTTATTTACTTAATAATTATTAATAATAACTAATAATAATAACTTTTAATAAGGTTTATATTAAAGTTAACTGCTTTTAGCTAGTAATACTACTATTCTAGCTGCTTTAAGTTAGCTCTTACTTCTATAATAACTACTAATAGTAGAAGTAATAGTAGTAATACTACTTAAAAAGTGGGTTCTCATACGTTTTCAATCACACGTTACATCACACGTTACATCTCGTGGACGCATCGGACTTGGAGCCACGACGCCTGGTGCCAGCTGGTTGCACCTGCAGTATTTCTCATCTTTCTGTGGTACTATCACCACATGCAAACCTCAACCACAGCTTGCAAAATCGCCTACTGGCACACCTGGAGATATCAAAACGTTCACCATCTGATGACCAAAATTGAAATTTAGACATGGGCAACATCGATATAACTCGGAGCACCACACACCGAGGCTTCAGTCAGCGAAGAAACAGCATGTACAAGCGTCATATTAGACAGCGTAAATATCTACAAGAACTGGTATCCCGACCCCTCTCGTCTCCTGCTTCACATGCCGTCCTTGATCATGGCGTTGACAATCTGCACATGACGATTCGCATTCGTCTCGCTCCACTCGTTGTCGTAGTTGAGGCCGTAGGGCCAGAAGTGCGAGCCGCCACAGCTGATGGTCGCGCTGGCACCATCCCACGAGCGCAGAAGCGGGAGGGCGGTGGCCCAGTTGCCGGAAGCGCACTTGCTGTCAAAGGCGGCGGTCTGGCCGACGCCGAGCGTGTGGGAGATCTCGTGTAGAGCGGTGCGCTCGTTCATGTATGATCGGTTCGAGCCGAAGCGGACGTCGCCGTTGTAGTTGGCCTCGGCGGTCGGGACGCCGGGGGCGTAGTAGACGCGCAGGGTCTTCGATGCTGTTCCGAGACGGGCGTGGCGAGCCACGGCGAGGCGCATCGCGGCCTCGATCTTGGTGTAGGCGTCCGTCTGGTCGGCAGTGGGGTTTGCGGCCTTCTCAAGGGTCCAAGTGATGGCACCCTGGGCGGCGGCGGCGTAGGCCGCGACGACGGTAAGGATGGAGAACTTCATGTTGTATGGGAGGTAGAGGTCTGGAGTGATATGGAACGATCGTAAGGGCAGTCTAGTCTCTGCGAAGAACAAGAATGAGAGAGGCAATGGAGACGCTGGGTATTAGAGGAGTAGTCGCCGTGCTGTACGAGAGCAGTTCGGACGACGAGCAGATGCGTCGGCGCTTTTGTACCTTCGGCAGATCAGGATCCCTTGCTTCAACCCAAGCATCGCATCTCGTCCGAACTGTGATCTCCTGACAGGCCAGCCCATCAAGACTTGCCTCTTCCGGACATTGTCGTTGAACGCGGTTTCTCGTGGCCGGCAAATCGTCCGACGATATCCACCAAAACGGGGCGGCCAGAGCCCCCGAGCGTGCCATCGGGACTTTTTTGACGAGATAAAAGGATCGGATTAATTTGTCCGTGGCGTCTCGCTTGGCCCCCGAACTACTCGAGATCCATTGATGCGACGCTGGCCTCTGAATAGAGCGTCTTGGCCCGTTCCGAAGCCCCTGGTGGCCGGCAGAGGCAGTGATTAACATGCAACGCTCCCCCGCACACCCTAAATCCGACTTCCGTTCCTGGATCGGCCTTCCGCTCAGTCGTTTGCTCTAGATTGGCTCGGCTTCTGTTTAACCTTATCGGCTAACGTTATTGACACACGTTGTTTGGATGATTTGGCCCCGGCGCTAGTTGATATTTAGTTCTTGGGACGAAACCGCAGGCACTCACTCTCATTTCGACCCCGTTCTTGGGTGATCATGCGGCCTCGAAGACATCGGTTTTTCCATCCACCGCTGCAGTCGTGCCAAGGCGTCCGGCCCGCTGGCATCCGAATCTATTATCAAAGAGCCACAGACCTGCTCAATTTGGGAATCAGGCGTCGATCAGTTCCTTCGTGAACCGGTCTTCCATGGGAGCCACTGCCGAAGCGGCCCGAGTGCGACGGGGGCTGCACCGTCGTAGAAGCCAAAGAAGGGAGACTGCTTGCTTGCCGATGTCTTAGCCATCCGTAACGAAGACCTCAAATATCACATTAGCAAGTTGAAGGTCACGCAAGCTCCGGGGCAACAGATTCTGGGAATATCGCAAGTAGATCGTCCATCTACCTATGTTCTTGGGAGCTTCATGCCTAGTATACAACCGCACCCTGCTGGCGCCATCTTGCATGAAAATCAAGCTCTCCTCTCAAAATACCGTAAAGCAAGAACGACTCCAGTCCATAAAGCAATACCAATGATACTTCGCAATGCCAACTTCTCAGCCACCAATTTTCCGGTCCAAATCAAAAGCGCACTGCATTCTCGCGATCCTCCAAAGTGCTCATGCAAAAAGCAACCCACGTTGTCGGCCACATCATCATTTCTTCTTTCCCTCCATCTTGATCAACTTCTTGAACGGCTTCACTTGCTTCGCAAGCTTCTCGTTGGGATCAATCGCCATATCTTGAATAACGTCCAACATGATGGTTCGGAAGACCTTGTCTTGGAATTCCGGCGGGACGGTCCCGAGGGTCTTGAAGAAGGCATCGCGCTGGTTGACCTTCTCCTTGACGGTGAACTTGGGCTTCTCTTCGGTCTCCTCCTCAGGCTCTTCCATCTTCGCCTTCATCTCAAGAATCCAAGAGTCAACCGGCTCGTCATCATCGAGGCCATCGTCATCTTCGTCATTGTCGGTGTCAGACTCCGGCTTCTTCACGATCGTCCCGTCGCTCGTGACGCTTTCCGTATCACTCTCTGCCTCGGCATCGGAGTCGCCATGAAGCTTCTTCTGCGAGAGGTTGTTGCCGCCAGCCTTCTTGTTCTCCTTCAACTCTTGATTTTTCACGGCTGTATTTTTGCCTCCAGCGGCGTCCTTGGTGCGCTTGCCAATCTTGCTGTCCTGAATACTTCCTCTGGCTCCTCCTGCGTCATAGCTGCCGTCAGCAACATCGCTTTTGTCGAGTTTGGGTTTCTTCGTAGAGATGATCTCCAGACACTCCACCTCTGAATCAGATTGGTCTGATTCCACCTCCATCTTGCGCTTCTTTGGAGTCGTCGGGTTGACCTTGTGCTGACCAGCCGATCTGGAAGGCTTGAAGTAGGTGATACCCTTCAATCCTCGCGTCTTCTTGTAGGCGGCCTTGACGGACTCATACGACTCATTTCCGACGGCAGCGTTAATGACGTCTGAAAATAGGTAGGCTTGATCAGAGTTGATACCACTCGCCCATATGTCGGGAAGACCGTTCTCATTGCGGAAGAATATGGCCCATATGTCCAACTCGTTGTAAGGCGTTTTCTCACCTTTCACGAACCTGTTGAATATCCCCCCGTCAGTCATACGGCAGTCAAAAGGTGTGCCCACAGGCGGCAAACTGTGAAAAAGGGATGGAGCGGAAGGAGCAAGGACGAACCTGGTGAAGTTTCGGTAGGCCGTATGGCGAGCAACGTAGAAATTGTTGATGCTGACAGGTCGTTGGAGATCTGCCATGATCTTCCCTTGCAATTCGGGATGCCAAATCTCGTGCGCGTAGTCCTTTTCGAAAACACGTGCGGTGTAGTCAATCCACGACTGTTGCAATCTAGGACGGCCGGTGGCCTCGTCCTTGTCGTTGAACTGCTGTACCATGGCAGCGGAAGGTCCCATCTTGGCTTTCTTAGGTGATGAAGCAGAAGTGCCTTGAGGCGAGGTTGTCTCTTGCCAGGTCTGCTTGGGGCTCTGGGTGGAATGTTCAGCAGACTTCCCGGCAGGAGGCTGCGCAATGGTGTTATTGGTCATTTGCTCGTCAACGTCGATAACTTGAGTAGGAGCTCTGTCGGCAGCTGGCTGTGTGAGGAAAGCCTGGTCGCGAGGCTGGTTGTTGACCTGGGCCGTCGAGGATGCGACAGCCTGGGTGGCTTCGTGCGCAGGGCTCGAGAGACGAGTCTGGCGAGCGACCTTGTGAAAAGTCTCAGGACTCGCTCGCTGGACGGAGCTTTGCTGCTCGCCGTCACCTTCCTCAAAGAGTTCGGCAAACACGTGCTCTGGAATGCCTTCGGAGTCTCCGTCCACGGCGGGGCTGTTGCTTTGCTCGGACAAGGGCTGATCGTTAAGTTGACGGATTTGGGTGGAAGTAGGCTGTGAATCTTGGTCCCAAGCCACTTCGAAAGGGGGCTCTGGGGTCTCCTGGTCGTCGAGGTCAGCAGACTCAAGCGCTGCAAGTAGGTAGACGTCGCGATCGGTGGGAGAGAGCCCGTCGGAGGATGAAAATCGCGGGCTGAGTGTGAACGACGAATCGCGGTGGTGGAAGGCAGAACCGTCGAAGTTCGCTGCTGTAAAAGCAGTCGCGGCCCCTGACATGCTGCAACCGGCCTGAGAGCGCACAAGGTGCGGCCTGCTGTATGGATGGCGGCACTCGAAGGGAAGAAAGACTCGATGAGATTTTATCGAAGATATGATTGAAGGTGAAGATGGCGATGTGAAGTAGAATGGCGAAAGGAAATTCGGAGATGTGAAGGGGGTGAAGTGGTTGGAGTTGGACTGGTAAGAGGGTTGTGAGGTGGGTTTAAATAAAGGATTCGAGGTGAAGTTGACAGAAGCTAAACTTGTGGAGGTGAGATTGTGCGGTAGAACTAGGAAGGAGCGGAAAAGAGACGGCAAGGAAGGTGTAGGTTTGGAGCATCACGCAGCTGGGTATTCACCCGTAATATCTGATGACCAGTCACACGGAGGTCTTCAGCCTGGCTCCACCGGGATCTGGAAATGGAAACGCATTTGTTGAGACCCTATCTGAAGCAGGCTCATGGCATCCTCATATTATTATGGCAAACCCAATGCACATATAGACTCACTCGTCAACGGGATAATACGCCAAATCTATGGACACCCGCGAGTTCGTAGATCTGAAGCTGTTCAACCATGCTAGGATTTGTCATCTTCGGGAGTCGTCATGCTTTCCGACAACGAATATTCTCGACGTCTTATATTCTTATATTGCACTGGCACTGGAATAGTTCATCAAGAAAGTTGCAATTTGCCACGGCATCACAATTCAAAGAGGAATCGATCTTATTTCAGCACAAGTCTCCTGGGCCTTCCCCCAAACAGACGACGAGCTGATCACTTAAGGATCGCCTTCATCACTTTTCGTGGCAACAAATCGAACTTTAAGAACACTCGTTCAGTACCGGCGCATCCCATGATGTTGAACACGCACAATTGTCTAGTACTTAGGATGACGCGACATGGGCTACCAATCTGGGGAGACGGAGATGACGTGATGAGAGACGATTTCCGCAGCCCCACATCGTCGAAGCACTCAATGTTGGAGAAAACACCTTCTCGGTCAGACTCGATGTTGCCCCTCGTTTTCCTCACGGAACAACCCGAGTGGACGTTTGAGATTGCCCGGCAAAATGCCAAATAATGAGTCTTTGATGATTGCACCCGGCATGGAGGGAGAGCCCAAACGGCACCGCTCGGAACAACGCGCCAGCAAGCTTCGTCGAGCGGGACGTGCATGTCTCGGTTGTCGAGCAAGGAAGGTTCGTTGCGACGCCCTCGAGCGTAGTCCCTGTAGCAATTGCGAGTGGGACAATGTTGAATGCGTGGTCCCTCGAAGCCGTCGAAGTAGGTAAGCTCGTGTCATCGCGACTCCAAACTAGTAGAGTGTTGACGCAGGGAGGAAATTCTTCGTTGGGGCACATAGACCTGCTGCCGACGTCCCGACAAGCCAGTTCTCAGGCCATGGATGTTATTCTACCGACATAAGTATGGTCGATGGAACGGCTACTCAGATCCTCCGCGATGCTGCCGATCCGGACTCTGCGGCTGTCGGGGCTAGCGTTCAGCCGGTGGAGAATACCCCACGGGCATCATCTCGCAATACGTCCACAAGCTTCTCGATGTCCAGACCGTTCCCAGGATTCGTTGAGCCTCTACGGGTTTGCAGGGAAGGATATGTTAGCTTTCTCGAGCAGCAGGGGGCTTTCCGCCTGCCCAGTCTGTTCTTACAAAGCGCACTCTTGAAAGCCTTCATCGAGTTCGTCTACCCACGTATGCCGTTACTGAACTTGACCAAGCTATGCGAAGCCATCGAATCCTATGATAGAGGCACAAAAGACATCAGCCTCTCGCTGTATCAAGCTATTCTTTTCGCTGGTTCCGTACATGTCAAACAGGCTGACTTGGCTGGGACCGAATTTTCTGATAAGCTGAGTCTGAGAAACACACTATATCAGCGTGCAGAGGTGAGACGCCAGTTTCCACTAAAAAGCATTGAATTTAAAAAAATATTGGGTAGTTGCTATTTGAATTGGGAGGTCCACAAGACCAAATCACTCTTGTACAGGTGGCTCTGCTTCTGACCTTTCGAGGTATATCCCAAGATTCACAACTAGACCGGAAAGACTCATGGCACTGGATGAACACCGCCGTTACGCTGGCGCTTGATCTTGGCTTGAATAAGGAACCCTCTCTGAAAGCATTCGATACTTCAGAAATCAAGTTACGACGGCGACTGTGGTGGTGCTGCTATGTCCGCGACAAGATTCTGGCCCTCGGGATGAGCAAGCCAAGCAGAATCAAAGATGAGGACCATAGTGCCTCCATGCTCAGCATACATGACATGGACTTGGAAACTCTGAAGACCGAAAGAACAATATTCGTGCGTATCCACTTAGGGCCGTACGATCATGTCGAAATGATGGAATCTGCTGAGTTGTGCGTCGAGAAGACCAGACTGTCGATGCTCATGCATCGAACGCTGCAGCTTCAACAAAGCCCCGACAGTCGGCAGAATTCCTCGATAGAAGACACAGTGGAGGGAATTGAGGCAGATCTCTCAGCTTGGGTCAGTCAATTATCAGTTTCTTGTCAGACTCAGCCACTGCCTATCAGGTTGCGGACCACCAGCATTCAGACATCAATTCGATCGCGGCGGCATCTTTTGCATATGGCTTACAATTTTGTTCGACATACATTGCATCATGGACGCAACGAGCAGCGAAAAGAAGCTCATTCCCAAAGACCGGTTCAGTCTTTGGAGACATCAAAGCGCATCGTGTCCGAGTGTGCGGACAACATCACTCGGCTTGCAGCCGATCTTCACCAAGGAGAAATGGATCTGTATCTCCCTATTGGGGCAATCACGATACTATGTCCCGCAATCTCTACGCACCTGATCAACATGAAGAACCGAAGCCAAGGCTCGAAACAAGCTGCCGTGTCAGGCTTTCGGGTCTGCATGAGAGTGCTAGACAAGCTGAGGGATCTCTATCCCGCAACAGAGGTCACCCTTGCATATCTGGATGTAATTCTCCAGAAGGCACAGATGGAGTCAGCTATCTCGGTACGAGCGGTATTTCAGCTTAACGAACGAGACCGAAGCGATATGCGGATGATTCTCGGACGCAGCCGAGGGCAACCGTGGGATACAATCGTGACGTCGAAAGCCACAGATCTTGGCTTTGCTGGCCTTGAAGATGCTCTGAACCAATATGAACGACTTGATACCCCGGAGTTGTTCGCGGACTACGGTGCGGAAGAATCAATGGGGTCAACATATCAAACGACATCACTCGGCCTGCCACTTTCGCCCAAAGACACACTTGGACACGTCGATTTCAATGAGATGAATCCCGGGCAATGCCTGAACCTCGGATGGATTGAAGATGCGGACAGCCAATTACCCACGGATGATGCTTTGATGCCAGCGGCTACAAATCAAGGAACATCATGGTTTGAAGACGAGACTCATATGTATTAAGTGAAGAACGAACGGAGTTTTCGAAAGCCCCCTAGCACTCTCGTACGAAATCTGGCACTGGAAGCATCTTAGTGTAGTACTTTCAGTCAATTATTAAACCGTGGCAGACTTTCTAGGACTACAAAATGGGGTAACGATCAACACTCATTCTAAACGGCTAGGATCCATTCATCGCCATAACCATACTCAGGCCTAGCGTCGCCGCCGTATTGGTTGACGGGCTCATTGCTTTCTTTCCCCTTGATGAAAGCTGCCTCGCAACTTTCGAAATACACTTTTGGTTGCCCCTTGTAAAAATCGTCGTACTTTGTATCTAAAGCTTGCTCGAGAGACACGATGTCTCCTTCGGGGTGCAAAGCTGACCAAGGCCGGGAACAACGCTGTCCCTCGCAATCTTTGAGAGCCATGATGACAGCATCAAGGCGATGAACGACATCCGAAGCTCGTTTGCCAGAGATTTTGAAGTCTTCCGACAGAATCGAAGCCTTAGATGTGTCGGAAAGCAGGTTGACGGTTTGGTCGGGGTCATCCTGTGTCCATGTTCAGCAAATGGATGTCTAAGATTGATGACACCATGACTTACCTTCAGATTGAAAAGTTCCTGCTCTCCCGTGCACCATACCGAATAGTAAAGATTGAAGCTTTTCCCAACCAGACGGAGACCTTTATACGTGTTGTTGAGATACAAACCTTCCAGCTTGCCAGACTCAAAGTGCTCGTCACTACGTAATCCATAGTGGCCTTCGGGAGCTCCCCAACCCCAGAACTCAATGGCGGCATGTTCATTCCTGGTTTGGGTTACTTCACCTGCCCAGGGCATAGCCTCTCCATCAAGCTGTCGTTCTGCACCCGCGATCTTGAGAATTGTTGGAGCAATGTCGGTGTGCGAGGTTGCAGAGTCGACTTCACCACCAGCTACCAGGCCAGGTCCACGGACAAACATGGGTATGTGGATGTCAGTGTCGTAACCGCATTCTTTTCCGGGATGCATACGATGTTGACTGATGTGATATCCATTATCTGTTGAGTAGAAAATGTAGGTATTCTCAATCTCGCCAGCAAGTTCGAGTCTCTCGATGAGCTCATGGACCATCTCGTCAACAGCTTGTAGGGCCCGCAGGCGTTGGCGCTGGTAATGATCATTGTATGCGAGAACGCTCTCATTGAGCGCTTCAAGACGGCCGGGCCAGCTCGCCGCACCGCTCATTTGCTGATTGAAGGACTTTCCGCGGGGAATCTTGTAATCATGGAATAAATACTCATGTCGATATGCGCTTTGCGGCGTCGACAAGTAGGTTGTGTTTGTCCTCTCGTCAAACACCCAATTGGAATGTGGAGCAATGGGCGCAACTGTGAGAAACCAAGGCTCATCGTGGTTGAGTGCTTGTTCCAACAGAGCATAGGCTTTGTCAGCCACAACATCCGTATTGTACTTCCCGGCGTAGCTAACGGGTGGTTCACCATTATGTGTCATTTTCGTATCCCAATATCGATAAGTGTAAGGGTCGAGTAGAAAGTCAGACGCATTGAAGCCTCTCGCGAATGGCCGGTCATAATTCGACACGCTGTGGAAGTTCCAGAGCTTTCCTGAGTAGTAGGTATTGTATCCTGCTTCCTGCATCCACAAGAACAAGTAATCGTCGTTGAGACCTGTTTCCGCGACTTTGGGGTAGCCACCATGCGGAGGGGAAACGTTTGTGATGTTGTGGTTGTGCGCAGCTTTCCCTGTCCAGAGAGTGGCACGAGAAGGACAGCAGAGAGCAACGGTACAGTAGTGTTGGGTAAATGCCGTGCCCTTTTCCACGATATCAGACTGGCGGTAGCTCGTCAGCTTGCATGATTCCATGCTTGACAGCAGCAGCAGCGGTGGTCAATCGTACCTTCAGGTATTGCATGTGCTGAACGCTTTCCATGTGCAGGTCTTGATCATCAGTCAAGATGAAGAGGATGTTGGGGCGCTTGGCCTGCACTAGAGTGGCCAGTGCCAGCCATTGTGCTAACTTCATCCCGATTTTGTCTCGTAAACGTCGAGCCTTGTTACTGGAGTGAAGAGATGATGAGGGAAGAAAGCCGAATGCCACTGGAACGGGGTTTAGTGGGCCCACTAGATTTTTCAGCGTTTTTAGCGTTTAGAGGTCAGATTACTAGCCCCCTTCAAGAGGCGAGAAGTTAGCTCAGATATTATTATTAATCCTCATAGATTAGAAGTAAAATTTACTTATTTTTTTTAGTAGATTTTTAAGCTTTTAATCCTATTCTTTTTGTTTTAGATCTATAAAGTAAATAAGAAGTCTTTTCCTTTTTCTTTTAAAATTATAAGTTTTAAAACTATAGAGTTATATAACTATAGTAGCTCTATATACTTTTAAGTATATATATACTACTACGCTATATAGCTCTTAGCTACTAAGCTTATAACTATTTTAATAGTACTTAGAGGTAGATTCTTTCTTCTTTTAGATACTTATAAGAGGTACTAGAGAAAAGCCTACTCTTATACTAAGTAAATAGATTAATATAATATATATAATAACTATAACTATTATTACTAGCTATATAATACTAAAAAATATAATATATTAATAGGAGTTAGGTAGTTATTTATAAACCTAATTTATAATAAGTAGAGAAGTATAATAACTAAGTATAACTCTACTAGTAGGAATATAGAGATATAAAAAGACTTTAAAAAAGACCCTAAAAGTATTATAGCTTATATAGTAAGAAATATTAGATTTTTATTTATTTTTACCCTTACTACTCTTTAATATTATAAGCTATTAAAGCTAAACTAGATCTACTTAATAAGCTCTTTAAACTAATAAAAATATAAAGTTTTATAATATTTAGATAAGATAGCTTTTAAGAACTAATAAGTTTACTATAGAAAAATAAGATAAATCTACTATAAAGCTATTAGTAGTCTATATAACCTCTAATAGATTAACTAGTAGAAGCTTAAAAGAAGGAATATAAGGTTAACTATAGAGACTTAAGATAGTATAGCTAATTAGGCTTAGAACTAGTAGGGGTAGAAGTATAGTACCTACCTACTTAGTTATACTTTTTTCTCTTACCTCTTTTTCTTTTATTATGTTTTTAAAAAAAAGTAATAATAATACTTAAAATTAGAAAGATTAATACTTTTAACTACTTAAAAATAATAACCTATATGTTTACTATCTTAATTATTAATAACTACTATAACTAAGATATAGCTTAAAATAATTAAGGAAATATTATATAAAGATATCCTAATTCTTTATAATTTCACTACTAGAGGTAAGTCTACTAATATATTTAATATTTAAACTAAAGCGTTTAGGAATATCTAAGATTAAGTTAAGGTAACTTTAGCTTCTAAAGATAGCTTACTTAATAGCCCCTCTAGTTTATAGGCTTAAGTTATTAATATTAACCTCACTAAGGTTAACTATACTACTAATAGTACTTACCTCTATATTAGAGTTAATAGAGGTAAAGAATAAGCTTTTAGTATTAATTCCTATTATACTTTAAGTAATAATACCTATAGAGTCTAGTAGTAGCTTATAGCTCCTATTAGTAATACTTATTTTATTTCTATAGACTAGCTAATAGGAATTATTAAGTAATTAATAGAGTTATACTTTTAATATCTTATATTAATTATAATAAATCCCTTTCTAAATAAGAATGCTCCTATATTTATAGGTAATAATATTATAGATTTTATTAAAACTTATAACTTTTAGTCTTATAAAGCTTATTAGACTAATAAAGATAAGCTAATAAAGGTCTACCTCTATAGTCTTAAGGACTTAAGGTAGGGTATTAAATCACTAGTTAAAGACCTTAATAATTAGGAAGTTACTAAAGCTACTTTTATTAATTAGTATAGTATTATAGATAAAAGCTTCTATTAGGATCCTAATAAAGAGCTTTAAGTGATTAAGGATAAGCCCCCCCTCTCTAAGATAGATACTATTAGTATTATAGCCCTCTTTAATTATATTAAAAGCTTATACTATAAGGCTACTATAAGGGAACTCTTAAGGTATTAAGATTAAGATCTTATTCGCCTTATTTATAGGCGCCTACTAAAGGAAGCTATTAAGGCTACTATAAAAGCTCTTTCTTATAATATTATAGACCTATTCTAGAAGTTTTAGCTAAGTATTAAGTATATAATTATTAAATAGGTAGCTAGAGAGACCTCTTATATATATATTAGTAGAAGGAAAGCTATAAAAGTAATTACTCCTCTCTTAATTACTAGTCTTATTAAACCTATTAACTAGCTTATATAAGTTACTTATATTTAGTAGTAATATAGTAACTTAAAAGCAGTAAATTCTAATAAAGTTACTACTCTTTAAGAGTAGATATACTAAATATCTCTTAATAGTAAAAATATTAAGGAATAGATAAGGGTACTTATAGCTAGTATCTAGAAGCTAAATATAAATATTAGCTAGTAGCTTAAACTAATATAGAATAGTTATATTATAAATATAAATTAAATATCTATAGTATAAAGGAGTTATAGATAGTAAAGAGAGATTAGCTAATTTATAAGCTTAACTACTATAAACTAGACGTAGTATAATATACCTAAGATTAGAGGTTACTACTCCTATAGAATAAATAGATACTATATAGCTAAATATAATATTATAGATAAATTAAGGAACGCTAAGGTAGTATACTACCTAAGGGGATAGTATATTAGCTCTTATACTAATTATAATATTATTTAGGATAGTATTATTAATAAAGGATAGAAGAACTTAATACCTAACCTAATAACTATTTAGGCTTATATCCTCTAAAGTAAAGTATACTTCTAGCTAGAGGTAGTAGTAAAGTAATTCTATAATAAGTACTACTTAGAGTAAGTACTTAGCTTAAAATTATCTATCTATTATTAAGAGGCTATAGTTATAGTAGATAAAGCTTAGAGAGAATAGAAAGAGGCTAAATAATAAGTATTAATAACTACTATTAATTATATTAATATT